CCTACTCCATTAATCTACTTTCCAAGAGCACAGTAAAAGACTGTTTCCCATTTTTACATACTTTAGAAAGATTATCCATTAAAAGTAGCCTTGTAAATTCAAGAAAACAATTACTTTTTTCTTATACAAGAAGTCCAGATTTTATCCTCAGCACATAACTACATCATTGTATTACCTTTTAAGCAAATGGAGCACAAGAACGATACATGAGAGAAAATCCCACCAGCTGCACTATAACCACACTTGCTCTTCCCCTTAGTTTCAGAGAAGGGTTCTGTCAACCTTGTGCCAGCACATAGGAGTCAAGCTATTCATAATTACTAGGGTATACAAGACATTCTCAATATTGGAGTAGTTAAAAGAAAAGCATTTCACAAATAGCTTTAGAGGACTAAAACCATTCTATATATATTTATTATTTGTAAATAAAACCTGCCTTTGTATTGCTCATTCCCTTATTCTAATGTTTATCCTCATTCTCAGTTTTAACAAGGCTATCCCATTTGAAAATAATGGAAAAAGGTTCAAGACTCAAAGAGTTCTGCCTCTACCACAGCTAACAGCAGCTCTTAACTTGGAACCTGAAAACAAACATACTTAATGTTTATGAATCCACCATAACAAACAATGCTATAGGAAGGCAGAGATATCCATTTCTGACACTTGTGATGCCTCTCCTAAATTAGGAGCTTAATCCCAAACCTCCTATTTGCAGAGTAGCTCCGATATGCAAGATATTCCCAATGAACCTCAGGGTAAATATGACAGGAGATGATCAACATCAGAAGTGAAAAGGACATGACACAGAAAAGTGCTGCATACTAAGGGGCGTAAGTCCAAGAGCAGGTTAAAAATCTAAGTGCTAAACAAAGCAGAGCCAAGCCAGCCCTTGCAGCATCCCTGCAAAGCACAAATCCTCAGCAGCTCAGGTAAGTTTGGGAGGATGGTACACACAAAAAGCATTTGCATTGCACGCTGCTCAAATTAAGCTCAAATGCTTTGCCTCTGCAGAGGTGAAACCACAGCAGCTGAGAGATGGAAGTCAAGCTGTCCCAAGCAGGCCAGGACACCAAATCAGAGCTCAGCCCAACCTCTGCTACGTGCCATTGCAGTCAAAGGGAAATATCAAGGTACTCATGCAGCCTAACTACACAAGCCATTTCCACATCTGTAGAACTACAGAATGGGCACTGAGTGCAGAACCCAGAAGGGGCAAAACCAAAGTATGACTGGAAGAAGTGACCAGAGTCATCCACGAAGACCAGCAAGCTATGAAGCACCTGCATTTTTGGTGCTGAAACGCAAGTCCAAGCTGCTTGATGTTACCGTATCACAGAAGTGTGCTAACCAATCAATTTCAACCTGAATTCAGGAGATTACATTTCCTTTTGTCAACCCCAAATAAGAAAAATTGTAAGGGCAGATGTTAACATAGAGGCAAATAGGATTAAATTGAACATGTGGGCTGTGTGCGGGGAGATGCTCAGCAGTAACAACACTCGATCAATTTTTCTATGAAGTCAAATAACCTCTGCAATAGTCCACAAAGGAAAGTATTCAAAGCTCTGCGGTTTGAAGTACATAAAGCAAGGCTTCCAAGAATATTAGGAACAAGATACATTGGCAAGTGGAGGGACAAGGTCATGTAATTCACCACTGTTGCAGAGCAAGATAGTACACCTGGCAACAGTGACATTCTTTACATGTCACTAGGTAGAACAAAACTGAGACCTGTAGTAAGTTTCCTGCAATCTGCAGTTCAACACCTTGGCACATCCAAACGCTTGCATTTCCTGGTACCCAAATTACACCCATTAAGAGAGAGCAATTGACTACCTGAGCTCTGGAAAGCGGTGCCATCAGGACTGCCTCCTCATCCTGAGGAGTAGCTGCCAAGAGTGACCTCAGCTTGGCAGATCCCTCTCCTGAAGTAGAGGTCAGTGGAAACTGAGGCACAAAGTGTCTGCTCAGAGGGGCACAACATCTAATAAAGCCCAGAGTGAAAGGGTAACTGAAAGCAGTCATTTAGCTAGCCAATAACTGGCGGGATTCCCATTTGTTTACTATCTGGACCAGAAGTTAAACAGGCCCATATAACATCACACCATTGGGGTCAAACCTGGTATAATTATACGGGGACTAGCACAGAACCTGCCTGAGCTGCAGATCTGGCTTTTCATACAACTGGGCAGCAAGCATACAAATCTTCGAACACAACTGAAAAGGTGAAGCCAAACAATAAATCATATTCAGTGGTAACCCAATTTGTCCTGAGCCTGGTTTCAGACTTCTCAAACTCATACCGTTTCTCCACCCAGAACAGTCCATTTGACACACTATCCATTCCTAACAAAATAACTACGTCCCTCAAATACCTCAAAAACACATGATGACTAAATAATGCAAAACCACACCAAGGTATTCCACAAAACTGCCCCAATTGGGACCTATCTACTAGCTGTTGTACTGCACATTAACCACAGATGCCGTTTCCTTAGCTTTTACTATTTTGCTAGTGTGTTTTACCCTTTTACTCCTCCTTTTCGCAGTTTCTATTTATTAGCACTCTAAGAAACATCAGACTTTGTATCTAAGACTGTGCAGATAATGATTTTTTTTTAAAGTTAAAATAACCACCATGTTAATCGCAGGTCAGTGTCTTGCACTGACTTGAAATGTGGGAAAATAGCCTATTAAAAGTGCTATAAACATTTGTTCCAAAGAAAGCAACTGCTCTTTTCTATTGACAGAGCTTCAAATGAGAAGCTGAGGATGCTCCTCAACTTAAATGGACCATTAAAAGAATCAAATATTAACTTCCACAGTGCATCTGTTTAACAGTAAAAGAACTGCTCCTCCAAACATATGTTCCAGATCTGCCTGGAAAGCTGGTAAACCAGATTACCCCCACCACCTTTTCTCCTCGAAATTGATTTATAAATGCTATTAGTGAGTCAGGTTAGATTTCCTAGCTGCGTATCTGGATAAAGATCAAGCAAATAATACAACAACTGGTGAACTCAAGGCAATAAATCTATTCGTAATAGTACTGGAAAATCTAAAAACCCATAAATAAATAACCCTGCTTCACCAGGCTACACCGGGTAGGTGCCCATTCGGGACGTACATATGCTCACAGACAGGGAGACACAAGCACGCTATCTTAAATCCCGTCTCTGCTTCTCCCCCAGTTCTTCCACAAACATTAATTTACACAACAATCCCAAGAGCCAGATAACCATTCCCCTGCTCCTGAAAGAGGTAGCAAACGGTCAGTGGAACACCATCACAAGACTGTCACGAGATTGATGTAAAATCAGTGACAGGGTCGGGATTAGTGTTCAAACCAGCCCGGTGAAGTTTCTCTGTCGTAACAGAAGAGCATTTCCACAAAGCACTCCAGCATGCTGTCCTGCAAGATTAGACAGCGCTCAACCAACCCCTCACAGTGCTTGAAAGTAAGAGGTTAAAAGTGAAGAGATTAAGAGCACCTCATTAAAAAAGGCTGAATAACAAACGCAGTGTATTTTCAACATGCACACCATTTCGTTCTTCTCATTCCTATAAAACATTTTCATAACTACATTATACTGTGCTATAATTTTTTACTCCCTTGCTCAACACAAGAGGACACAAACCATACCCCTATTCTATAGCCTGCACAGAAGATTAATGCCTAGAACAAAATATACTTGAGGCAATTATTTAACCTTAACACATTAGCGTTTGATAAACTGAGGGGACTACATAGAAAATGCATGGTTTATACTGTAACATTTCCCCCATTACATTGTCATAGGGTGACTCAATGAAAAAAGGGGCTATTATACAAACCAAAACACAGTGTTTAAAGTTTAGTGCACCATCAACTGGAAAGCACACGACAAATAACAAGATAAAATTCTTAGTCTGTAAATCACATCGTTTACAAACACAATCTGCAGTTAGACCGGCAACCTGAGCCAATAATAGATCCAGCCTTGTGAGTGCCTGCTGTATAAAACAGACCCAACAAACACCCTGTTATGAGACTTGGTGGACCTTTATTCGCTTGCTAAGCCTCCACCGTGTCAGTGCCCTTGCTCATCCCCAGGAATTGCTTACAGGCTTGAAGCCACGACTGGAGACTTCTTAATCTCCACCTGTAACTTCTGCGTTAGGGATCCTTCAGTTCTATTTCGACGTTCAATCGCAAGAACCAACAGGAAAACGCACTGAGACAGCGATAGAAAACTAGCGAGTCACTTCTCCTGCCTTCGGAAGGTTCCTTATGGCACCCATGGCAATGCCCAGCGCTACATCCCGGCCAGGCGGCAGGCCTTGGCACGGCGCAGCGCCCTGCGCTCCCGAGCTGCCAGCCGTCTAGGAAAGCTCGCCGGCACTTGAGGAACTCCGCGAGCCGCACATCTGATGCGACATCCAGCTTCTTGGGCTGGAGAGAGGATCTGTCCCAGTGTGTCGGTTTTATAGCAATCAGCACGGGTTTACCAGGCGGGCAGTTACATCCATAAGGTTTTAACCCCGAAACGCGTTTTGCTAAGGGTGCTACCCGTCAAACCCCCGTCCTCAAGGGAAGGATGCTTTCCTAACAACTGGGTCCTAACCGATACCAGGCGGCTAAGCCCTGCCACACCGTGCACCAAAGCCACCCCGCAGCGCAGCGGACCCGCACCTGCCCGCCGCCCACCGGGCACAGCCGGGACCCGCGGCCGCTTCCTCGCAGGGCGCTGCTAGCCCCGGCGCCGCTCCCTCGGGCTCCGCTCTGCGCCCGACAGGGAAGCGCAGGCGGCCCTAAGGACCGGGCTGGGCGCTGCTCCCCTTCTCCTCTACCCGCCAGCCCCAGCCCGGGCTGGGCGAACTCTTGCCGCCGGTCCGCGCAAAGGCTCCGAGCCCTCGCAAAGCCCCGAACAGGACGGCCCTGCCTCGGGGGGAGCCGGCGGAGGAGGAGGAAGGGCACGAAGCGGCCCGAGCAGACCGGAGCCTCGCCGGCGGCCCCTCACCTTTTCTTCTCCTTGTCAGCTGTCATCGCGGCGGCTGCCGACTCCTGCGCCGCCTCTCGGGCCGGGGCGGGCTCAGCACCTGCCCGCGGGACTCGGGGGCTCCGCGGGCGGCGGCGAGCGAGCGGTCGGTCGGGGGTCGGCGATCCGGTTCGGCCGGGTCGCCCCCGAGGCGGGCGTACAGTCTCAGGACACTGCCGAGGATTGTACGGCCCGCCCGGGGGAGGCGGCGGCCGCGGCTGCTGCGGGGCAGGAGAGCGCGGCGGCGGCTGTGCGGCTCGGCACCGCCAGCGGAAAGTTCTCACTTTAAACCTCGGGCCGCCGCCGGCCGCGGGGGCAGGCCCGGCCCCCTCCGCCCCGGCCCGGGCCCGGCCCGGCCCCGCCGCCACCGCCAATGGGGGCAGCCGGGCGCCGCCGCCGCGCCCCGGCCTCCCCGCCCCCGGCCTGCCCGGCGGGGGGCAGCTGGGCCGCTGCTGCCCCACCGGCAGCGGCCTGCAGGGACAGCGGGACGCGGTGTCCGCCGTCACCGCTTTGGGTTGAATTGTCCCGGTTTTGGCCGTTTGACAACTTTCTGTACTTTCACCCCCCCACAAGCCTTTGGCGCGGCTCAGCGGCAGGAGCACCGCGGCACCTGCAGCGCGCCCGCGGAGCTGCTCGGGCGGAGGCGGCCGCGGTGCGGAGCTCCGCCCGGGGAAAGGGGATGCCGCCCCGCTGAGCCACCCCGGTCACTCCAAGCGCTAGCGGCATCCGCAGTACCGGCCGCGCCGGAGCGAAGCCGGTGTGCAGGGCGGCGGAGGAGGGATGTGCGAAGGAGCGCAGGGGCTGCGCTGCTGCCTCCCCGATGGGACTTCCTTCCTCCGCCTGGTTTTCCACCTTCGTTTTCGATGTCACACCTCGTATTTCAACTCTGCGCTTTTAAGAGCCGTAGCTGGCCCCGCACAGTGAACTCACAGGAGCAAGAAGTGCCAGAGCTCATCTCACGCCAACATCTGCTGTAGTTGGCTGGTTAAGATCAATGTAAATAATAACAGTAAATAAGGAACCCTCAACTTAGGTTTTCATTTATTTTCCACTAAAGCAGACAAGGTTTTCCTGAGATTATCTTTCATCACTGTAGAAACTAGTCCTATCCTCATGTTTTAAGGCTTACCTTATGGTTTTGCATCTCAAACCAAAATGCACACCTCTGCATTGCACTGCACCAGGTGTCCCGTATTTGTGGAAAATGGGATTACTGCAGGCAGAGTGAGCCAAACTAGGTTTATTTCTTGGTTATCCAAATGTGAGCAATTTCCCTAGGCCCTTTCGTAGGCTGGTTTGTGTACAATGGGTCAGAGGGTGTGGGTTTTTTTTCTTTTACACAATATGAATGTTTGAAGAAATGCGTTTGGATTTGCATATTCTGCTCTCAAGTCTAAAAAGAGCTACACATGCTTACACAGCAACAGCCTAATTATGTGGTAACACTTGGGGTTTTTTTCTTGTTATACAAGAGAACCCAAACAAAAGAAACCCACAAATATTTAAAACCCAAGTAAACTCAGTCAAACAGAATTTGTGTATGCAGGACTAAATTTAACCTTCTGGGAATACAAGAATGCAACAGGATCAAAGAGCCAAGTCACTCATTTCCTAAATTAAATAGGCCTCTTCATCCTTCATTGATCTCTGCTATGTCAATGCTTCTTGCTGTATCTTAAAGCACTTCACTTGGATAAACAACTTGCCTTCAAAAACCAGACAAGGAAAGCATTCGAATCAACTAAAACTAAACCACTTGGTAAATTTCAGCTATTGCACGTCTAGCCCATTGGCCTGACTCTTGTTGGCTTTGCCTACAGGGATAGAGTTAGTTGATTAACAGTCTAAACAGAGGGAAACTCTCCTGACCAGCAAGGCCTGAAGGTGCTTTGACAACAGGAGAATTCACATCCAAGTGCCACTCAAGAACCACCACCACCTGTCCTCCTTTGTGGAGGACAACTGGTAGGCTTCAACACAGGTGAATGCCCAGCAAAACCAGAACCTTGCTGCTGCACTGGGAGGTGATGCAAGCAAGAACAAGTGATTCTTACAGCTCCCTTCCAACTCCAGCTACTGAAGTTGTCCATACTACTGCTTCCTGCAGCTGAGCCCCCCATCTTGACCATGATGAAAACAAACGGCCTGTCTTCTGGAACTGACTTCAGTTGTTAATTCCCCCTTGTTCCTATGACTATTCAGGGAGGGAAAGATCAAATGTATCTCTGTCATTCTATTGAATGCATTCTGCAACAATAAGGACCCCCACAGCACCTATAGGGATGCAGAAAGCACTGTCCTTCACCAAGAACTAAAAAAAAAAGAATCACATACTTTAATTCCTAAATGCACCTCATGACTGCTTTGATCTCCTTTATGGTCAGTCAATATTTATTAACAGCAGCATCCACACTAAGGTGGACTTTCTCTAATCTTAGACTACTCAGAAGTTCCCATAGGGGCCACACTGTGAATGCATTTGCTCTATGAACATGCATTATTTAACCTGCAGGAGATGACAGCTGCCAGGAAGGGCAAGCAAAACCTTAAACACACAGTAAGCACAGTTTGTCCTCTCAATTACTATCACCATTGTAAAGGCTCTTTCTGTTTTGTATTCCCATGTTACTCCTCACGTTTCATCATGCATTTGCTACACTTAGCTTAGTTGGTAGAGCTCAGAGAAAAGCTTGTGGAAGGGGAAAAAGTACTCAGGGAAACTCATGAGCTGACCTTAACAGCGGTTGGCTTCTATTCCTACTACCCTATCCTGCAAGGTTTCCAGATGGGGCTTCCTTACTTCTGGTGGTTAGAGACAACACTAGCTGTTATATCATCCGCTCTGTTCTGCGAATTGCGGGAGAGGACCCACATTGCTCCTATATGAATTATTCTAGAGATGCTATCATAATAGAAAGACTTTGATTTCCTAAAAGCAACCTTCAGGTGAGGTGTTTGAAAAGAGTCATTACAACAGTGGTGTGTGAGCAATTTTCACAACCCAACCTCGAGTCTAAACTACATTGGCAAATTAGGAAACATACACCAATAGTGACTGAGCCCCTGGTGCTCAGCTCACCCTGCTGGGGCTCCTGGACAGGAGCACCCCATCACCCAAGCAAGATACAGGGAAGCTTCTGAAACACACTACTGATTTAGGACCAGATATGCATCTGTATGTAATCAACCCTCTAAATCAGTGCTTGCCCTAGTTTGAATGCGCATAGCTATCACGAGTGAAGTGAAAGCAGTTCTAGTACTCTGGTTTGTGCATGCATGTTACTGGCACCTGTGTTGTCTGAAGAGTACTGGTAAAACACACAAGTTCAACACTGTTCAGCAATTAATGCTCCAGAGTACTCAGAAGAAAACATTAATACTCCATCCCTTGCATGGGAGGCATCCTTATTAAAATTAAAAGCGGCTATTAAAAAACAGATTGCTGAGAAGACAAAGTGTTCCAGATTCATTAATAACCCCTGTTTGGTTTCTTTCTTTTCCTGGCTCCTCAATACTGTGAGAAAGTATGACAGCAAAAAGTTGATGCTTGCAAAAGCAGATAATGACATTACAGGAAAGAGCGCGGGTGAAAGGAGAACCCTGTTATTGCAACACTGCTCATCCTTTGAAGGAAAGAGGATTCTTCACTTATACCAGAAAGGTACAGCCACAGAGCAGTTATTACACACAACAGCAAATGAGACAGAAAAACACAAAACTTTATGTGAAAAGGTCAATGGGACAAAGTGGAGATGCTCAGATGGACATAGAAAAAACAGTGCCTGAACCATGGTGAAAAGAATAAGTTAAAAAGAAAGTCCTGTTCCTTGTGCAACCAGTCACTTCCATTCATTCACACCTTCATTCCTAATTACAGGTGTGTGCCTGTACCTTAGCATAAATGTACCTTCTGCAAAATCAGTAGCTGAGCCCTTTATCCACAGTGGCACCAACCACTTGCCAGGGCAGGAAAGAGCACCTCAGCTAGCACACCTGCAGACTCTTTAGGATTCCTCTGCCTCTTGCTACAGGTTCACACTAGAAAGAGAATTCTTATACAAGAGCATAATACTGCTTTTGCACAAGAACAGATAGAACAGCATTCTCCCTCTTACCCTAGGCGGAAAGCAACACGCACTATACGCAATACTGGACCAGCCAGTTTAAAGTGTAATTTTGAGGAACTACATTAAGATGTCTTTGAGAGCTTCCAAACACCGAGTGCACACCTTCAAGCAAGGCTCTCGGATAAGCTCCAGCATTTTGAGCCATTGATTACTTAGACACATTCCAGACCTTTCAGCCATCAATACTCCCAAGAAAAAAAAGAGACATGGAAAATTGTTGGGAATGTACCTGTAAATATTAGAAGGCTTAAAATTACTGAGCTTATCTTTTAGCCCTTTTCAAAATAACATACTAAGGATGTCTTAGGCCTATCCCAAGGACAGGTGGTAAACCAAAGGAAGTCTAATTAACATAGCAATGTGTTGCAATAGAATCCATGTAGAGAGAAAACAGATGATGAATAAGTACATAGAAACACTCCTGACATGATGCTGGAAACTGCTTTAAAATGTTGGGAGAGCTCAACCAAGAAACCAAGGAGCAAACAGATGCAAACCAGCATGTTAAATGAAGTCTTTTGTTTCATGTTTTGCCCTCGACCTTCAGTAGCTTAGAATTTAGAAATACAATATTTTTCACAGTTACTTTTTTATTGTATTGGCCTGTGGAGAATAAAGCCTGAACACATTTGCTAAGCAGGAACCCGATTCATCATCTAGAATGCAAACAACTGCTCATCAGCCAGAGCAACCACTCGGAAGCTTAAAGACTTAGAGCACCATGTGAGACTACAGTGTATTTAAAACACTACTGGAAAGGGGTGAGCTTAATCTAGGAATATAGGCTACTAGTCCAATGTAATGAAAAGGAAGCATGAAACAGATATAGCCCTTCTGCAGTGTTTCTGGAAGGTAGGCATCATACAGATATTAATTATTACTCTCTAATTCTACTTTAACCTATTTACTTCACACTTGGTGTTACCCACACTAGCTGTCAATGCTAGCGTCAGGCAGAAGAGGTCTGCAGCCTCTTCCTGCTAACTAACAGTAGCTCTGAGGAGGAAACATGGACACAAGATCATCGGGGTGTGTTTTATTCAAAGCCAGCAAAACACATCAATAACATTTAGGAGATGGGAAGGGAAACTGTTCCTCTGGGTGGATTTTAAAAGCCAGATTTTGTAGCGATGTTTTTAATACTGATTACTTCCTGTCCCCAAAGAAACAGTTATCACAGAGGAAGAAGAGAAGGAATATGAACACAAGCACAAACACTGTGTGCCAGAA